ATTTATATATGTTATATATATATATATATATATATATATATATATATATATATATATATATATGAGATTTATTAAAATAATATATTTTCTATTTAAATTATAAATGATCATACGTGATCATTATTTATTCCTCCATATGGTCCTAATAAATTAGTTTTTGTTTTCTCTTTTTTTCTTCTTCTTGTTTTTTATAACACTAGTATTCGAGCTAGCTTTAGAAAAAGGGTAATCTGGTGCATTAAGCTCTCGCTATGAGCGTGATTTGGGGAGGATCGGACCACGACGGTCTATTGTGCGCGGACATTTTTGCAAAAGACTATTTCCACGGTTCTAACCCGTGACCTCCTGGTCACCTGACAGCAATTTTATCAGTTATATCAATGCTCCCCTTTTCGAGCTAGCTCGCCTTAATTATTTTTTAGCTAGAAAGATACACAAACCATTAAGTTTCAAGAAATTACACTCAATAACCTTGAAAATGAATGATCTTGATTTTTTAAATCATGTTGCCCAATGGATAAAAGTTTAAGGTCAAAAGTGTTGCTCATGATGCAAGCAAGCAATACTTATTAAATTTAAAGTTTTACTTACGAAGCAAACGGGGTCAAAAAAAAATAAAAAGTATCACCTGAAGTGTCCTATATGTGCAAATCAGTTTTGGTTATGTTGCTATTAAGCGAGCCAAACTAGTTCCTTAAAATCAAGGAGTGGCTATGTTTTAATAAACGGAAAAGAGCCAAAAATACCCTTGAACTATTTGAAATAGCTCAAAAATGTCTTATGTTTGTTTTTTTTACCAAAAATATACCGATCGAACCGGAAAAACCGGCCGAACCGATAATTTTAGTTTTTTCGGTCTTTCGGTCGATTTGCGGTTTATATTTTTAAAAAGTTCGGTGATCGGTTCGGTTTTCGATTTTCAATTTTGGTGCCCCAATTTTCAGTTAAATCGAAAAACCAAAATTTTAGTGTATAGTTTTGGTGGGCTCTTCTTCACCTATTAATCTCTAGCCCAATTTGCTTACCCACACTCTAAAGGCTGAAGTCCAAAAATCTATTTTTCAAAACCAAGCCCTTTTGTTAATATATACGTATAGTGTATAGTTTAGACTATGATTTCAGTTTACCAAATCCCTTTTCTATTTTCTCATTCAAGATTAGTTACAGTTCATAGGAAAGTTGAACGTATGGCCTCATTCTTTTTTCATTTTTGTGAGTTTGTGATGTATTAGTATTTAACTAGTTAACCGGAGAAAAAGTTAATTGTAAAAAACTGAATTTAAAGGCCTTTTCTTGGTAGAAAAAGCTCAAACAAAAATCCCTTAAACCGACCGAACCAAATCGAATATCGACCGAACCGAACTAAGAAAAACCGATAAAAACGAACTAATATTGGTTCGGTTATTGGTGCACCAAATGAAAAATCGAAAATCGATTAAACTGAACCGAACTTTTGAAAAACCGAACTGAACAGATCAACGCCCACCTCTATTGCCGTCTATATTTTGGACTACAAATGTCCTTAAACCGTTAGTCTTGCCATTGAAGGTGACATGGCAGTCCAACTGGGATAGATTTGCTTACATGGCCATCCACCTAAGCAATCTAGCATGGCAAAATTATTTTTTCGGAAATTTTTATTAAAATACAAAATCAACACTTATTCCGAAAAAAGTAAAAAAAATCCGGAAAAATAAATATTTGGGGGTTATTTTTCCTGAAATTTTTACTTTTTTCGGAATAAGTGTTGATTTTATATTTTAATAAAAATTTCAGAAATAAATATTTTTTCGGAAATTTTTATTAAAATACAAAATCAACACTTATTCCGAAAAAAGTAAAAAATTTCCGAAAAAATATTTATTTCTGAAATTTTTATTAAAATATAAAATCAACACTTATTCCGAAAAAAGTAAAAATTTCAGGAAAAATAACCCCCAAATATTTATTTTTCCGGATTTTTTTTACTTTTTTCGGAATAAGTATTGATTTTGTATTTTAATAAAAAAATTCGAAATAAATATTTTTCCGAAATTTTTTACTTTTTTCGGAATAAGTGTTGATTTTGTATTTTAATAAAAAATTCTGAAATAAATAATTTTTTCAATGGCATTTGTGGTCCAAAATATAGACTGCAGTGATATTTTTGGTACAAAAAACAAACGGATGACATTTTTGAGCTATTTCAGATAGTTCAAGGACATTTTTGGCCCTTATCCGTTTAATAAATTTACAAAAGCTGGTTATATTATGAACATTATCCTTAAACGTGGCCTTCTTTCCAATAAAAATTATTTGGGATGGTCCTTGTACGATTTTCAAAATTATCATAAATATTGTTTGAACATCTATTTGCATTTTAGTTATATGGTCATGAATTTAATAAACAACAAACTTTAGCAGAGTCATTAATTTTTTATTTCAATCTTAACTAGTCGTAGAAGATTATTTCTGTTATAAAATAAAGACTGTAAAGTAAAGACAAGTATAGAGAGAAACTGATATATTATTCAAATTTCAAACTTATGTACATAATGAACTGAAAACTCCTCTCTTTATAGAAGAAATGAAGCTGTTGTGTAAGCTATTTGCGGGCTGCTATTGCAAGTTGTTGTGTAAGCTGCTTGTAAGTTGCTACTACAAGTTGCTGTGTAAGTTGCGTGTAAGCTGCTACTGCAAGCTGCTGTGTAAGATGCTTGTAAGTTGCTATTGCAAGCTGTTGTGTAAGCTGCTACTGTACCAGATATAGATAATCTTCTACCGGGGGTAATGTTTATCCATAACAGAGTACCAAAATGATAAGCTTCTTTAGGAAGCTTATTTCCAATAGAGTACTAAATAGATAAACATATTTACGGCGGAGCCTCATATGGATAAACTTCTTCAGGAAGCTTATTTACAACGGAGTAAATGAACATCCATAATATAATATATTTATAACACTATCCCTTGGATGTTCATTAAAAGATAATCTGCCTCATTAAAACCTTACTAGAAAAAACCCTAGAAAAAAAATCCTAGTGAAGGAAAAAAAGTATACATATTTAGTAATACACATTGCTAACTGCCTC